TGAAGCCTGAAAGAGGAGGTGCCCGCCAGAGCTGTGATCACAAACGTTAATGAGCCAAACACACATTCATCAAATTCTGCATGATTATTAAGTAGTCTCGTCTCATTGAGCTGCAGGTAGTTCACTTTAGAACTAAGAGCGTCTCAGGATAACTTTCAGCGCAGGTGGCTAGATGACTGCGGGGTGTCTCCATCTCTCCCATCCCACCCCCACATTCCACTCTGCCCTTCTCCAGTAGGCTGACGGCTGTGCCCTGCTTCTATGGACTCTCTTGCCCTCTGGCTTCCTGTGGGGTTTGGTGTTCCTAGGAATTTAAAAAAAATTTGTTGCATGACATTTTTGATTTTTTTACAGCAGTATTTGTCAGTGGTAATCTTGGAGTCATTATCTATTTTTTAAAAATGTTGTCTTTTATTTGCTAGTTCCCTCAGAACTGTGATGCTCCTGGCTCCATTGTTTTCCAGTACCCTGGGTGAATTTGGAACCCGTTTGATTTTTCTCTTGTCAGTGTCATCTTTGTGTTCTGTCTCTCAGCTTTTAGGATTTTCTCTTAATTTTTAGGATTCTGATATTTCACCAAGCAATGTGTAGGTAGGTGAAGACGCTTTCCCAGTAAACCTGTCAACACTTGGTGGGCCCTCCCTTTCCTTCCTTCCTTTCTCTTTTTCTTTCTTTTTCCTTTCTTTCTTTTTCTTTCTCTCTTTCTCCCTTCCTTCCTTCCTTTCCTCCCTCCCTCCTTTCTTCCCTCTCTCCTTCCCCCTCTCCCTCCCTCCTTCCCTTCTTCCCCCCCCCCCCCCCCCCCCCCCCCCCCCCCCCCGCCTTTTTCTTCAGGGTCTTGCTTTGTCATCCAGGCTGGAGTGCAGTGGTACAGTCCTGATTAACTGCAGCCTTGACCTCTCAGGCTCAAGTGATTGATTTTCCCACTTCAACCTCTGGAATAGCTGGGACTGCAGGCATGCATCAGTATGCATGGCTAATTTTTTTGTTTTTGGTAGAGACAGGGTTTTGCCATGTTGGCCAGGCTGATCTCAAACTCCTGAGCTAAAGCAATCCACCTGCCTTGGCCTCCCAAAGTGCTGGGATTACAGGTGTGAACCATTGCACCTGGCCTTGGTGGGTCCTTTCTATAAGACTTCAGTTTTAATTTAACTGAAATTTTAAAAAATTCTCTCCATTTTCTCATCTCCTGTGATTCCTTTGAGATGGTTGTTAGATAAATCCTCCTAGATTTATCCTCCATGTCTTTCTTAATTTTTTCCAAAAAAGAAAAGTCTCCCTGCCTTTTTGCTTAATTTTCTAGATTTCCTCAAATTTTCAGATCATGAATTGGCATCTTAAATTATTCTATTATTCAACCCCTCTGTTAAATTTTTAAATCTTGGCCAGACATGGTGACTCATGCCTGTAATCCCAGCACTCTGGGAGGTTGAGGCAAGTGGATCGCCTGGGGTCAGGAGTTGGAAAGCAGCCTGGACAACACGGTGAAACCCCATCTCTATTAAAAATACATAAAAATTAGCTGGGCATGGTCGCGGGTGCCTGTAATCCCAGCTACTTCGGAGGCTGAGGTGGGAGAATCACTTGAACCTGGGAGGTGGAGGTTGCAGTGAGCTGAGATTGCACCACTGCACTCCGGCCTGGGTGATAGAATGAGACTCCATCTCAAAAAAGAAAAAAATTAAAATATTTGTTGTAGTTTCCTACCCCGCTACCCCAAGACTCTTGTTTGTTGGTTGCCCTTTTTGAGTTTATTTTGTTTGAAGGACACAGTATCCATCTTTATTCTGTGTGTATTAATTAATTAATTAGGCTTTTTGCTGAATCTGCATTTCAACCAGATGTGTAAGTGAGTTGCCCACACCCAGGCCATTCCTCGCTCCAAGCAGGTACTTACCTGATGTAGTTTTGTGCTGAAGGGGCATCTTCCTACAGCCCATGTCTCTGTCCCGGGGTCCTTTTCTTAGCATGACCCCTGAAGCCTCGCTCAGCCCAGCCCAGGCCGCACTTCATGCTCGTTATACCGTGGGATTCGCAGAGACCCTCCCTGCTCTCAGGTGTCACCCCGGAATTTGAGAGGCGTGACTAAACTAGTTTAGGAAGGTTCTCACGGGATTCTGAGCATTGTCATATGTAGCTTACATTGTTAGGTAAAATTTACATACAATGAAATGCACAGATCTGAATATACCACTGAATGTTTTCAAGTGTGTATGCCTGTGTGACCAGCTCCTCCAGTGAAGATACGATATTCCTGGCACCCACACAAGCTCCCTTATGTTTCTTTGGAAATGTGAAAATAAAAAAACTTGGGACCCTGATTCACTGTGCCAAAAGGAAAAAATTAAGGTGAGAGTTGAGTCATGCAAGAAGCTGCCTTTTCTTTTGTTCCTAAGCAGAGAGCTACAGATGGCGAAATATTCCCACAGGTAGCTGCTCTGTGTTCACCTTATCAAGTGCCAATTTACTGAGTGCCAGAAGACATCATTCACTCTTCCCTACCTGCTCCTTTTTGCTTGCAACTTGTGGATTCTGTAATGTGACCATACCCTTTCTCTTTCCCTTTCAGCCCACTTTTTCCATTTAAATATTGAAGCCCTCAGCCAGGCATGGTGGCTCACACCTGTAATCCTAGCACTTTGGGAAGCCGAGGTGGGCGGATTGCCCGAGCTCAGGAGTTCGAGACCAGCCCAGGCAACGTGGTGAAACCCCATCCCTACTAAAATACAGAAAAAAAAAAAAAAAAAAAAGAGTTGGGTATGATGGTGGGCACCTGTAGTCCCAGCTACTTGGGAGGCTGAGGCAGGAGAATCGCTTGAACCCGGGAGGCAGAGGTTGCAGTGAGCAATATTGTGCCACTGCACTCCAGCCTGGGCAAGAGAGCGAGACTCCACCCCCACCCAATAAATAAATATTGAAGCCCTCAAAATCATTTTTGCAGAAAGGCACAGACCTGTTTTTGGTGCATTGTCTTTAACCATGGCACCTTTGTTTTGTTTTGTTTTGAGATAAGGTCTCCCTCTGTCACCTAGGCTGGAGTGCAGTGGCTTGATTGCAACCTCTGCCTCACCACAACCTCCTCCTTCCAGGTTCAAGCGATTCTCCTGCCTCAGCTTCCAAAGTAGCTGGGACTACAGGCGCTTGCCACCACACCTGGCGAGTTTTTGTATTTTTAGTGGAGACGGGGTTTCACCATGTTGGGCAGGCTGGTCTCAAACTTCTGGGCTGAAGTGATCTGCCGGCCTTGGCCTCCCAAAGTGCTGGAATTACAGGTGTGAGCCACCGCGCCCAGCCAAAATAAACTTCTAAATTAATTGTGGCCTGTCTCAGACACTTTTTGGTTTATATAATCAATCTCCAACCTCCACCTCCTGAGGCAACTACTGCTTTCTTTTACTGTATTTTTGCCTATTCCTGAACTGCTTTGAAATGGAATCATATGGTATGTTTCTATAATGTGAAATCCACCCATGTTGTTGTTGTATTCATAGTTTTTTTTATTGCTGAGTAGTGCATTCTATTTTCTGAATGTAGCACATTTACCTCCTTTTGAACATGTGGCTCTTTCTAGTTTTTGGCTGTCACGAACATTCTAGTATACTGTTCCTCTTGGCTAAATAAAAAGGAGAAGAATTCTGGGTCATGTGGCAGGGTAGTGTGCATTTTTGTTTTTCTCTACAAAGCTACAGGTAGGTGTGCCTCACACTGCCTGGCCTGCAGGGGGTGCTGTGAGGCTACAGAGGGGGCAGTGGACTTGAAGGTAGGGGAGCCTGGGGCCACCTGGAGTTCCAGGTCTTCACCCCTAGGGGCCGCCAGCTGCCTGTCTCCCCACCCGAAGGACCTGCAGCGGCCTCCTTCCTCCCACACACCTTTGCAGCAGCAGCTGAGCACGTGGTCTCCTTGGCAGCCTTCAGTGATCCCCTTGGCCTAAGTCACCATCATGTCCCCACGGCTCAGCGGACCCTCCCACCCTGTCTCCCAGTCTGGGCTTGGGGCTCCACACTTCCTCCCTACAGACCCCCTTCTGGCTCCTCATGGGTCAGTTTGGGGCCTGGCTTTCCTCTCATGGAGGCAGCCCCTCCCCTGCCAGGATTGCTGGACTGTCCAGTGAGAGTAGGGCCTTCCCTGGTGGAAAGACCTGCGAGGCCTGCGTGTGGGGACTCCAGGCCGCTCCAGTGGTCAGTGAAGGGAGACACTCCAGGGCCCAGAGGGAAACAGCCCCTAGGCTCCTCCTGTGCCTGCCCTGCTCAGCCCAATATGCCAGCCTGACTCAGGCCCTTGGAGGCCCTGAGCCCTGAGGAGATGACACCCCCTGCCCTCCTCACCTCCACCGGAGTGAACCTCAGTGAGGATCAGTACTAAACTGCAGGCCAGGTGCGGTGGCTCACACCTGTAATTCCAGCACCCTGGGTGGGAAGCTGAGGCGGGTGGATCACCTGAGACCAGGAATTCGAGACCAGCCTGGCCAACATGGTGAAACCCTATCTCTACTATATAAAAAATCAGCCAGGCGTGGTGTCACATGTCTGTAGTCCCAACTACTCCAGAGGCTGAGGCCAGAGAATTGCTTGAACTCGGGAGGCAGAGGTTGCAGTGAGCTGAGATTGTGCCTTTGCAATCCAGCCTGGGCATCAAGAGTGAAACTCAGTTTAAAAAAAAAAAAAAAATTACTAAACTGCAAGGAAGGCCAACAAAATTATTTTTCTCATAACAATTGCTTGGATGCTTTTTTTAAAAAGTAAAATTTAATAAAATCAGTGTGAACAAAATGATCCTTTTGTTTTCTGGTTTCTCGTCTTCCTCTGCCTGCTGCCGCCGCCGTTACCCCCCTCCGCCGGCTGGTCGGGGTTGCTAAGTGGTAATACTTACACTTCAGGCCCCTGGTGCGCAGTATCCTGGGAGCACTTCCAGGAACCCTGGCTCCCAGGCCCTGCCTGGCCTCGCCCTCTGCACCTGACAGTCAGTAACTTTTGCTGAATGAACAAAATAATGCTTACATCAACTTTAGGCTTTTAAAATCTATTAATCTATTCTTTTCCAAGCAAAGGTGGTAATTAAAATGGAAAAGAAAACCATTCTAGAAAGAAGACAAGGCAGAGAGTGGAAACATTGCTGTACAATCCGCTGCCGTTTCAGACACCAGGAGCTTCCACCAAGTCATTTCTTTCCCTTTGCTGGCTCTGGTGGCTTGGCAGCTTCCAGTGGCTTGGCGGCTTCCAGTGGCTTGGCGGGCTCTGGTTCCTTGCCCTGCTGGGGTTCTTTCTCCATGCCTGGAGGAGGAACCAGCATATGCTTTCTGACCCTCTTGCCTCTGAAGTGGTTTCTTTGAAGACACACATCGATAAAAGCAAAAAATGCAGCCAAACCCATAAAGATCTGGAAAACAAAAAGTCCTCGTGACTCCTGCTTTCCATTCCCAAGGTGGCCAGTTTCCCTCTTGCTCTCTCGTTTATCAGTGGGTGCTGTTTCACATGTCCCCTCTGTCCCCTCGAATGACGAGCAGTCCCGAGAGGCTTGGAGCCTGTCGACTCCCTCACCTCTGTCTTCTCCATTCCCTTGTCCTGCCTTCTCGCCTCTGTTTCTTTTCTCTCTTTAAACCCAGTCAGGGTGGGTTTGCTCTGGGTCGGAGCTTGGGCTGGCTCCCTGGACATCATCTTTATTTAAATGGTGTTTCCATTGGAAACATCTGTCTATTTTACTTTTTTTTTTTTTTTTTTGAGACTAAGTCTTGCTCTGTTGTCGAGGCTGGAGTGCAGTGGTGCATTCTCTGCTCACTGCTACCTCCACCTCCTGGGTTCAGGTGATACTCCTGCTTCAGCCTCCCAAGTAGCTGGGATTACAGGCATGCACCATCATGCCTGGCTAATTTTTGTATTTTAGTAGAAAATATATTTTCTACTACATTTTGTAAATTACATATTTTTGTAAATTTTGTATTTTTGTATTTCACCATGTTGGCCAGGCTGGTCTCAAACTCTTGACCTCAAGTGATCCGCCTGCCTCGCCCTCCCAAAGTGCTGGGATTAAAGGCATGATCACTGTGCCTGGCCTACTTAACTTTTAAACTTTGCCTTGATCCCAAGATTTTTGTGAAAAATAAAGAAGCCCTTTCCTTAAACAGGGGACAACACCTATCCTCCAAAAGAGGTGAATTCAGAGCAAATGCATGGCCCAGCATGGAAAGACTTACCACACCAAGTAAGTAGTGGATATGCATGGACTGCCGACTTCTCACAGCAAAGACCATGGCTCCCACAAGAAACGCAAAGGAGAACAGGTCATTGAAGAGGTCCTGAGGATGGAGAGGTGAGTCAGCCTCAGACAAAGCCAGGGCCCCCATCAACAAACACTGCACCCTGGCTAGCTTCCTCCAAAGGAATGATTTGCAAACTTCCACCTGATTTAAAAATATATGCATAAAGATCAATGCACACTGGGTGAGGTGAACAGATCTGTGACCCTCCTGCTGGGCTTTTAAAATTTAAACCTAAAATGTCCAGGATGCTTAAATGCCCTCGTGCTGAAGCCTGTGAAGTCACCAGCACCCTCTTCTACCATCTCTCTGTGAAATCACGCATTTGGTTTCTGCTTATGTCTCCTCCCACCAATACTCCTATTCTTTTTATTTTTTATTTTTTGAGAGTGTCTTACTCCGATTACCCAAGTTGGAGTGAAGTGGTATAATTTCTGCTCACTGCAGCCTTGACCTCCCCAGGCTCAGGTGATTCTCCCACCTCAGTTTCCTGAGTAGCTGCAACTACAAGTGTGTGCCTTTATGCCCAGCTGAGTGTGTGTGTGTGTGTGTGTGTGTGTGTGTGTGTGTGTTTAGTAGAGATGGGGTTTCACCATGTTACCCAGGCTGGTCTCAAACTCTTGGACTCAAGCGATCCACCTGCCTTGGCCTCCCAAAGTGCTGGGATTACAGGCATGAGCCAAAGTGCCTGGCCAATACTCATTTAAATAAATATACAACTATGAAATGTCATGATGTCCCTCTTAAGGACCCCACCACCGCCTTTCAGCTTCCAGGGCCAGCTCCCCTCTCTGGAGTCTGGATGGGCTGCATTGGCTCTGATGGACTATATAGCATGTCATTGGGAGCCTGGCAGCTTCCTCTGCAACCCCCTGCCCTTGGCCTGACTTCTAGACCCCTTCCCCTCCTTGCTTCCTCTTCCTTCATCCACCCTCCTGCCCATCCCCTGTGACTTCAATCTCACCCTCCCCATATACTTGTTTCTCTCACACTACTGACAAGACACTGCCAAACTCCTCAGAGCTGGCCAAAAGGAGGCTGGCTTCCTCCTGCGTCACTCCTGGGGCTAGAGGATGGGGTGAGAAGCAGCTGATCCTGCAGTGCAGGAAGACACCTGCCATTCCCCTTGTTTCCTCTTTTTTTTTTTTTTTTTTGAGACAGTTTCGCTCTTGTTACCCAGGCTGGAGTGCAATGGCGCCATCTCGGCTCACCGCAACCTCCGCCTCCTGGGTTCAGGCAATTCTCCTGCCTCAGCCTCCTGAGTAGCTGGGATTACAGGCACACACCACCGTGCCCAGCTAATTTTTTTTGTATTTTTAGTAGAGACGGGGCTTCACCATGTTGACCAGGATGGTCTCGATCTCTTGACCTCGTGATCCACCTGCCTCGGCTTCCCAAAGTGCTGGGATTACAGGCGTGAGCCACTGCTTCCGGCCTTCCCCTTGGTTTCTATAATGCCATTTCCTGCTATTGTCCTTCCCTGGCCACTTTGTTTCAGGCCTTTTCCTTTTTAATGTTTTGAATTTTGATCCATTTCAAATGCCCAGAAAATAATAGAACATCCTACCCCCAACTCCCACCTCCACCAGGCCAGGAGTCACTGAAATTTAACAGATGTTAATATCTTGCAAATGTCCCCTGTAGGACTCTTTGGAAACAAGAAGTCCAGCTTCGTGGATGGAGGTGCAGCCCCTTCACTTCCCTCCCTTTTACTGTCCATCTCGCCTCCCTCCTCCAACTTTTGTCCTCCCAAAGACAGTCACACATTGGAAGCTGATGTGCAGTTTACCCTTCTTAATTTGTGTGTTTCTACATATTATATATTCATAAACAATGACCCCCTGAATTTGTGCATTTCTACATATTATATAAACAATGACCCACCTGAATTTGTGCGTTTCTGCATATTATATATTCATAAACAATGACCCACCTGAATTTGTGCGTTTCTACATATTATATATTCATAAACAATATATACTATTTTGTGTATTTCTTTCTTTTTTTTTTTGAGACAGAGTCTTGCTCTGTTGCCCAGGCTGGAGTGCAGTGGCACAATCTTGGCTCACTGCAACCTCCATCTCCCGGGTTCAAGCACTTCACCTGCCTCAGCCTCCCAAGTAGCCGAGACTACAGGCACGCACCACCACGCCTGGCTAATTTTTTTGTATTTTTAGTGGACACAGGGTTTTACCATGTTGGCCAGGATGGTCTCGATCTCCTAACCTCGTGATCCGCCGGCCTTGGCCTCCCAAAGTGCTGGGATTACAGGTGTGAGCCACCGCACCTGGCCTATTTTGTGTATTTCAAAATACACTTTTTATATTTAAATAAAAAGTATCCTACCTTCCAATCCTTGCTTTTTAAACTTAAAAAAACTTTTTAGATTTAGCCACATTGAGAAATATAAGTTTATTAGTTTTAACTGATGTAGTCTACTATATAAATGAATGAAATGAGAGACAGGGTGTTACTACCACTCACTGCAATCTTGAACTCCTTGGCTCAAGCAATCCTCCCCACCTTAGCCTCAGCTGGGACTACAGGCCCTTGCCATTGTGCAATTAAAAAATTGTTTTTGGGCCGGACGTGGTGGCTCACACCTGTAATCCCAGCACTTTGGGAGGCCAAGGCGGGTGGATCACGAGGTCAACAGATTGAGACCATCCTGGTCAACATGGTGAAACCCCGTCTCTACTAAAAATGCAAAAAATCAGCTGGGCATGGTGGCTAATGCCTGTAATCCCAGCTACTTGGGAGGCTGAGGCAGGAGAATTGCCTGAACCCAGGAGGTGGAAGTTGCGGTGAGCCGAGATCGGGCCATTGCACTCCAGCCTGGGTTACAAGAGCGAAACTCCGTCTCAAAAAAAAAAAAAAGAAAAATTGTTTTTGTAGAGGCAGGGTTTCCCTGTGCTGCCCAGGCTGGTGTCCTGGACTCAAGTGATCCTCCCACCTCGGTCTCCCAAAGTGCCAAGATTATAGGTGTGAGCCCTGTACCCAGCCTATGATGTCTTCTGTTGAAAAGTTTTAACACACACACACACACACTATATATATATATATAGTGTGTGTGTGTGTATACATATATAGTGTGTGTGTATATATATATGTGTGTGTGTATATATAGTGTGTGTATATATATGTGTGTGTATATATATATAATTACATACATATAATTATTTGTTTTGAGATGGAGTCTTGCTTTGTTGCCAGGCTGGAGTGTAGTGGCATGATCTGGGCTCACTGCAACCTCCATCTCTGGGTTCAAGTGATTCTCCTGCCTCAGCCTCCCGAGTAGCTGGGATTACAGGAGCGCGCCACCATACTTAGCTAATTTTTGTATTTTTAGTAGAGATGGGGTTTCACCACGTTAACCAGGATGGTCTTGATCTCCTGACCTCATGATTTGCCTGCCTCCCAAAGTGCTGGGATTACAGGTGTGAGCCACCACCCCTGGCTGAAAAGTTTTTATTTTAATGGGATACATAGTGTCTCTCTGTCTCTGTCTCTGTCTCTGTCTCTCTCTCTCCTCTCTCCCTCTCTCTCCCTCCCTCCCTCTCCCTTCCTCTCTCTCCACAAATCCCAGGGACATTTATTGAATATTCTATTCAACTGTTTTATAATGCTGCCTCTGTCATATACCAAGTTGCCATATGTTTATAGGTCTATTTCTGAGTTCTCTTTTCTATTCCTGTATTAGTCTGCTCAGGATGCCATGATGAAATACCCTAGACCGAGTGGCTTAAACAACAGACATTAACTTTCTGGCAGTTCTGGAGGCTAGAAGTCCATGAGCAAGGTGCCAGAAAATTTCGTTTCTGGTAAGAGCTCTCTTCCTGGCTTGCAGATGGCTGTCTTCTCACTACGTTTTCACATGGCCTTTCTTTGATACGTGTGTGTGTGTGTGTGTGTGTGTGTAGACAGAAAGCAAGTGAGAGAATTCTCTGGTCTCTTCTTAGAAATACACTTTATTGGCCAGGCTCACACCTGTAATCACAGCACTTTGGCAGGCCAAGGCAGGTGGATCACCTGAGCTCAGGAGTTCAAGACCAGCCTCTCTAACATGGCGAAATGCTGTCTCTAGTAAAAATACAGTGTTAGGCCAGGTGTGGTGGCTCGCGCCTGTAATCCCAGCACTTTGGGAGGCTAAGGTAGGTAGATTACGAGGTCAAGAGATTGAGATCATCCTGATCAACATGGTGAAACCCTGTCTCTTCTAAAAGTACAAAAAATTAGCTGGGAATGGTGGCACTTGCCTGTAGTCCCAGCTACTTGGGAGGCTGAGGCAGAAGAATCTCTTGAACCTGGGTGGCAGAGGTTGTGGTGAGCCAAGATCATGCCATTGCACTCCAGCCTGGGCAACAAGTGAAACTCCACCTCAAAAGAACAAAAACAAAACCAAAATACAAAATTAGCTGGCATGGTGGTGCATGCCTGTAATCCCAGCTACTCGGGAGGCTGAGGAAGGAGAATCGCTTGAGCTGGGAGGCGGAGGTTGCAGTGAGCTGAGATTGTGCCACTGCACTCTAGCCTGGGTTACACGAATGAAACTCTGTCTCAAAACAAACAAAAAATAAGACACTTACTGGATCAGGGCCACAGCATTCTGACCTCATTTAACCTTAATTACTTCCTTAGAGGCCTCATCTCTAAGTACAGCTACACGGGGGTTTAGGGCTTCAGCATGTGATTTTGCAGAGTGGGAGACACAAACATTCAATCTAACAATCTCATTAGTCTTCTTGTCAGTCCCTGAACCACTACCAAAGCTTTAAGGTAAATCTGATATCTTATTGGGTGAGTCCATCCTCGTTAATATTTTTCTTCTTCCATCAGAATTTTAGAATCACCCTTTAAAGTTCCATGAAAAACCCATGGTAGGTCGAAATTTTTTTTAATTTACAGATTAATTTAGAACTGAATTGCCATCACTATGATAAGTTTTCATATTTGTGAATGTGGAATGTTTGTCTATTTATATTTTCCTTTGATGAAACTACTCTGTTTCAGCTACTCTGAAACTACAGGTGTGTGCCACTGCACCCAGATTCTAAACTCTTTTTTTGAAAGACTGTACTGTTTTATCTTGCGTAGTTACTGGAGTCCATTTCATTAACTTAATGGTCAGCTAGTGATTTAACAGGGATTTCCTTAAATGCTTAGAAACAAATGAACAAAAAAAATCACTGGTCTTTGCAGATTGGCTCTGTGTTGGGGCACTTTACCAACATTTGACCAAACTGTTTACAACTCTGTCGTAGTTTTCACCTCCTGCTTGTGCAGAGCCTAATGGGCAACCAAAGGTGGAAGCTTAGGGTCTTCTTAGGTCTTTTCTGAGTATTTGTTCAGCCCTGGGAATGTGTGTAATCTTCTAGATTTGCTAATATATCTCCTTTCTCAGCCTCTTTCCTCCCAGATTTTCTGGTTTGTCTACAGCTTGACTCATCTGCTTTCTCTTGTCCCAAGTGGTTGCGGCTAGTATATTTGCCTTTAAATGCTTTTGACAAATGCTACCTGGTAGTCTGCTTCATCCCTGAGAAGGTTCTGAGGCAGGTGAAACAAAGGCAAGTCCCTGGACCAGTCTCTTAGGTAGTCATCAGACCACTCATAACAGACACACACCACAATTCTTTGAGAATAAAGTCTGTAATGTAATGAGACAGTGATTGCACCACTGCACTCCAGCCTGGATGACAGAGTAAGACCCTGTCTCACAACATACACACACACACACACACACACATGTACACGAGAAAATAGCTTTTTATGTTGGTCACTAGCAAGCTTCACCAGGAATTTGGGCTGCTGTTTTTATAGCCATTGCCAAGTTGTGGGGGTAAGAGATGGCAGGCAGGTCAGTTAAAGTATGCAATCCTCTCTTACCAATATTCAGCAGCCTCTTCCTTCATTACGCACTCCTCTGGTTCTTCTAAGTTTTTTTTTTGAGACGGAGTTTCGCTCTTGTTACCCAGGCTGGAGTGTAATGGCACGATCTCGGCTCACCGCAACCTCCGCCTCTTGGGTTCAGGCAATTCTCCTGCCTCAGCCTCCTGAGTAGCTGGGATTACAGGCACGCGTCACCATGCCCAGCTAATTTTTTGTATCTTTAGTAGAGATGGGGTTTCACCATGTTGACCAGGATGGTCTCGATCTCTTGACCTCGTGATCCACCCGCCTCGGCCTCCCAAAGTGCTGGGATTACAGGTGTGAGCCACCGTGCCCGGCCCTGGTTCTTCTAAGTTTTTAATGAGATTTGGGTTCTGAAGAAGTTAGTTCTGACAGTTTTTGCTAGATTACTCATTGCTGCAGAAAAGAGACAAAAGTTTGGAGTTCCTTATTATGCCATTTTCAGTGACACTACTCTCATTAAATATGGAAGGTTCTCCATCTTTATCACTCTGAATATTTTCTCTATTTATTTATTTAGACAGGGTCTCTCTCTGTCTCCCAGGCTGGAATGCAGTGATGGGATTACACCTCACTGCAGCCTCAGCCTTCTGGGCTCAAGTGATCTTCCTAACTCTGCCTCCTGAGTAGACGGGACCTCAGGCACGTGCCACCATTCCTGGCTAATTTTTTTTTTTTGGAGACAAGGGGAAGGTCACATGATGGTGCCCAGGCTGGTCTTGAATTCCTGGACTCAGGCAATCCTTCCACATTGGACACCCAAAGTGCTGGGACTACAAATGTAAGCCATTATGCTTGGACTCCATTCTCTCGAATATTTTCTCTTATCTATTCTCTTGACAACTTTTAAAAATTTTCATTAACAATTTTTTTTCTTTATCTTTAACTCCTGGCCTCAAGAAATCCACCCACCTAAGCCTCCCAAAGTGGGATTACAGGCATGAACCACCATGCCAACCCCCACCCTCCAGCTTTTTTTTGTTGTTGCCCATAGGAGTCTCAAACCCATACCTGCCTCAGCCTCCCAAAGTGCTGGGATTACAGGTATGAGCCACCATGCCCAGCCCAACAACTGTTGATGGATGTTCTCACTCCATGTTTTACCTCAATCATTTTCTCATGTTCTTTCTCTTTGTGCTGTGTTCTGGGTAATTTCCCCATACCTTTCAGTTAACAGATCCCTTTTCAGCTCTCTGATCTGTTTGTGAATTCATCTATTGACATTTTTATTTCAATAACTATATTTTCTATTCTAGACACTGTACTTTTAAAAAATCTGTCTATTCTGCTCTTATAGTATCTTATTCTTTTCTCAGGAGTCTTATGTCTGTGATCATTTAAAATATATTATTATTTTCAGACAGATCTTCTATTATCACATATTCTCAGGATTCTAATCCATTTGTTGTGTTTTTGTTGATTCTTGATTCCTAGTAATTTTTTTTAAATCAGGTGTTTTGTAATTTCTAATTGTTAGTTCATTTTTGACAAGATTTCCCCTCCCCACTGTGAGAATCTTTTCATGCCTTGATTGTGATTTTGCATTTGGTTCTATCAGGAGTCCAAGGATATCAGCAGAGTATCAACAGACTGGGATCAATTTTTTTGGTAATTCCTAGAGATGAAGGTTTCTGGGCTGCATCAAGGTTTCTAGGCTGCAGGTAACAATAATTCAAACTCCAGTCTGTACAAAGGGCAGGCTCAAGGTTTCTGTTTCTCAAGGAAGACTTCTCCCCCCACTCAAATCTCAGGCAGAGATGAACATGTTTCCTTATTTCTCTGTGTTGGTAATAAGAAGGGTATGTGTCTTTGTCCATCTTTTCCCTAAGCAGGTAGTCTTTCCAGGGAGCTGGTTTTATACAGGGTTTTCAGTTCTAAATTCCCACTTTGCTTAGCATCGAGGCCTTATTTCTTGACTTGAAAGTGCATGAAAATTCATGGACTAGTTTCCTGAGACAATGCCTTGTGGACCATTCCCACTCATACTTTGCAGCTTATGTGATCACTGCCCCATTTTCCATTTCTGGTGCCTGCGTTTTTCCATTTCTTTTTTGCCAGCTCATTCATTCAGTTAAATACTGGTTACATTTCCCCTGATATTTTTAGGTAAGCACAGCAGGAAGATTTTCAGGGTTCATTGGTTTTACATCTTGCTGGAACTAAAAATGTGTTATCAGGCTCCTTGTTGAGGAACTTGTCCTCTGCCTGTCCTTTTACCTTGTCCTCTGCTTGTCCCTTTTCTGAGAGTCCTTATTTGGCCCTCTTGTCCTTTCTCCCTGTATTGGAGGTCCTCATTTACCTCATCAAGACCTATGGATCCCTGGACCCTAATAGTTTTTAACAAGGTGGCAGGACAAAATGTACTCATAAAGCTAAGTTTGAATCTTTTTTCTGCTACTTACCTGCTGAGTGAACTGGGGACAAGTTACTTGGCCATTCTAAGCCAGTTTCCTCATGTTTAAAGTGAGTGAAACAGTGAACAAGAGGGCTCTAGAGCCAGGCTGTGAATGTGCAATGAACAAAGGGACTTAGGAATTGGGGTTTTCATTGACTGGCAGGGGGTTAGGTGGATGTGCCCTGTGATTACACAGGTAATGGGCAGGGATTCAACTCCATGAGTCCTCAGGCATGGTGTCAAGCAAGTTACATGTAATACTCAGGATTAAATGTCAATTCTGCAAGGAATTACGACTATCGCCATGTTACAGATGAGGAAACAGGCTGGGAATGGTCCAGTAACTTGCCCAGTTCTGTCTCATTCCACTAGATGACTGCTTTGGGCTCAACATCCTTCTGATCCAAACATCCTTTATAGGGATATTCATTGGAGACCTGACACTGCTTTAGAAGTGATTAAAAAAAAATCTTATTTTGTCTTATGTTATTGATTTATGGGAGAGTAATTTTCTTCTTTAAATTTTGGGGTTGGGGTCCTTCTGGGGTGATCATCCAGTTAAGTGTGAGCTGGCACAGGAGTTCAGAGGAACAACTGGTTGCTACACCTCCCTTCCCTCCAAAGAGAGCAAAGGCTCAGGTTCTCTTTGACCACCGGGTAGGTGAGAGTTCCACACTGTCACGCCAACACACTGGTAGGCTTTTTTGGAGCATTTTCTGCCTAGCTATCCCTCTTGCACCAAGCTGCCTCTGCCTGGACCCCACTGGTGCTCTGAGCCCCTGACTCAGGCATAGATATGGGAGGTGAGGTGTGTCTCTGTGGTGACTTTCCAGGTACTCCCCTCACCCCCGCCCCCCTGACACACATGATCAGCATTCTGGACACAGGCACTCTCCATTGCCCCTTACTTACAGAAATGGGCCACAGGATGAAGGGTATGTATCTGTTAATGGCAAAGCTGTACAGTAAGATGAAGAAGCTGAAAATGGATATCTCCATGGTGATGATAAGCATCAAGATGGGGTGCACGGTGAGCGAGGAGAACAGCGTCATTGCCACTATTAGGCAGACCTGCAGTGAGACAGACACCTGAGCCAGCAGCAAGGGCCTCTCACCATCTTTCTGAGGACCCCTGGAGCCTGCTCCTCCTTTCCCCCACCCTTGGTCAAGGCCCCCCACCCAGGGATTCCAGTCCAGCTTACCACACTCAGAATCTTGACCTCAGCGTGCCCCAAGAGCCAGAACTCTTTATTGCTGTCTTTTAATTCCCACCGGTAGCGGCGACACCCCTTCCTCGTGCCCACTTTGTGCTTGGGCTGTACTGACTTGGGTTTCTTCGGTGCTGCTGCCTCATCGTCCTTTTCATCCTCTCCGGGTTTGTCTTCGGCTGGAGGTGGAGCTGGCTCTGGCTCCAGCTTGTCCCTCTTTGCCGCCTGCTTGTCCCCCTGTGCTGGCTTGTCTTCCTTTGCCGGCTTGTCCCCCTTTGCCGGCTTTTCCCCTTTTGCTGCCTTAGGTGCCATGGCTGACTCGGTGTCCTTGGCTTCTCACAGCCGGCCTGTTTGTTCTCTCTCCTGCTGTTTCTGAGTAGGCCAGGCCTACCAGAGAGCCTGGTGTCCACCGAGCGGCTCAGAGGGCCTGCTCAACTAACCGCCAGGACCACCGAATGCCAACTCCCGCCCCCTCTCCACGCGCGCCGGCCTCTGCGCGTAGCTGCCGGATCCGCCTACCCTCCACGTGCGGGCCCCTGATGGGCCCCACCTCTGTTACCTACCTGCCGTTCCACCTCGGCGCGGAGCTGCCTTTGCGGTCTCAGCCCGGCGTCGCCAGGCGGCCTGAGGTCTGGAGGCTGCAGCTCCGCTGCCAGGTCAGGGGGCTGCAAGCACCGGGTCACAGCCCTGAGGTCCGCGGGCGCAGCCCCACGGGCAGAAAAATACAACGCGACTTTCACAAGGCAACGAGAGGACGCAGGTATTCTCGATCAAAGCAGCAGCCCTGATTTTATGGTCACATTTAGGCCGGAATGGGTGACAGTATGCGAGCTCGGGGTGGGCTCGGAGGGAGCGATTCGACAGACACGTGCATCTGAGAGGGCGCGCGTCAGGCAGGCCTTTGCGGGGCGTCGGGGACGGTTTCGGGGTAGGCATCCCCGGCAGGGGAAACCTTGCTTTCGACTTCGACTCCCAGGAATTTTTTCAAGTTTGTCCTCATCGTCTTGGTGACCAAAAATGCATCGATGCCACACACGATTACCGCTGTGAGACACAGGGACTGTCAGATACAAGACCATATGCGGGAAGGAAAGGCTGGGTTATTTTGCAGCTCGGTAACAAGGTCTCGAACCTACCTCCATCCAGGGTGGGCGCTGCGGGCGGCCTCCTGTCCCCTCCGACCCTTCACTACCCCAGTTGGCGGCTGCAGGCCCACTCTGCCTTTCCCAGAAAAAGGGAATTTGGAAAAGGGCGGATTTTGTTGCCAGTAGTAGCCTCACCTGATACCTGAGGCACCAGGAAAGGACCAGGGAAGGGCACTGGCCCTAAGAGTTTGCAGGTAGGGGTGGGTCCTGAGAAGGCCTCTCCGTGGAAAGACTTTTGGGCTATGTTTGCAAAGGGCAGGAAGGAGTTCCTAAGGGGAGGAGGATAACCCAGGCACTAGACTAGGGTCTCTAAGGAATCTGGTGTGGCCAGGACCTCCGGAGCTGCTGAGAATTGGGCAGAGTTGAGGCTGGAGAGGTGCAGGATCTGGGACTCTTATCAAGAGGTCAGGTGTGAGTCTCAGAAAACCCACTTGCAGTGGCCATGAGGTGAATGGAAAGTGAACCAGGCTGGAGGCAGGAAGACCAGTGAGGGATGGGAGTGGGATGCTGCCATCCAGTAAGAAATGGAGACCTGGGGGTGCCCATGGCACGGATATTCCCCTGTGCACACCAGGACTCTTGACAGCCTTGGATGTTTCTCTTTAAGGTCACTTAATTACTGGCTGCTTAATGAGCTTTTCCTAGGTATGCTTTGCCCCAGCCAATCTGTGAGCTTCCCCAAAGGGGAAGGGGCTCCATCCCCAGCACTGAGCTCAGGTCTAGCACAATCCAATGGGACTGACAGATATTTACTGATTATGGAATGAAGTCAAATAAACTTTTTTTTTTCTGCGTTAATTTCTATTCTCATTGTTTAACTTCTTGAACCAAAGCCCTACCTCCCCACCCCACTCCCTGAATCTTCCAAGCATTTGATCTGCCATTTCTTGTGTTCTTCCATATGATGAGGGTTTGAGTCCCAGTTTGTCCCAGTCTTGTGACCCACAGCAAGTTATTTAACCTCAGTTTCTGTATCTGTAAAAATGAGAGTTGTAAAGATGAAGTCAGAATGTGCCTAGCCTGGTGCAGGGCATATACTGGGCACTTCGACATGTGGCAGGCTTCTTCCTGCCTTCCTTCCTGAATAGGCTGGATTACTCACTTTCACAGGGCACTTCCCCCCCACAATCTCTCTTTTTATCTGTCTTTAAAATACAATTCTCTAGTCCAGAAGATCAAAGTCCTATTTATAGATGAAAAGATCTTGCTTAACATTTCAAAAATAGTGTGTACAATTCTCAAAAGGGGTTTAGCAGACTCTTGCTTTTGTACCTATTCGGAGAATGCATATTAGAATTAAGATTTTCATGAGCTCAGAGTTGGTGCAACTTCATATCATCTGAAGAAGTCAGTGCAAGAAGGAGAGTGGGTGGCATTGGGGATTCTGCTTGGTTAATGATCTAGTGGAGTCTGCTAATTTCCCTTTTCAGTCTTGGAATACTGATCTTAAATTGAGTCACGAAGGCTTCTACCTACCCCTCCAACATAGAATAAATGTCTTCTTTTCTTTTCTTGCATGGCCCAGAAGGCAACGACTGAGAGGAACACAGCTGTAATGATACTGTTGGTAAGATCCTGTAATACAGAATTGAAAATTATCAAGTTTATAAAAAAAATTTCATAAATATGTAAGCCTGTCAATTACACATCTAAGAATAGATGCCTTTAAAAAAACTTTCCCTTTGATTAAGATGAGGAGGAACCCTGAGGCATAATTCTTACATTGTCCAGAGACATGAGTTTATGTGATTTTAAGGTCCTAGATATGACTTTGTCTGCAAAAAAGGGTTTATTTTCATTAAAGAATACGATTAGAAAAACAAGCTGACTTTTTCCATCAGGTTTTTCTTAAAGGGCATACGAAAGAGCTCATGAAAAAACCTAGTGGTCAAGGGGCCTAGCCCAAATTGGCCCTCTAAAATGTGATTTTTTTTTGTATTTTTTAATGCAAATTCTGCATTCTATTCTGTACCTTATTTGTTTTAATATAAAAATAAAATTTTAGCTTAGCATTTTAATTATGGATTTACTTTTCCTCCCAGATCTGAAAATTGGGCCACATTTATTCTATGAGTTTACATGTCCCAAGAACACATGAACTCATCTGAGGAGCAGGTATGATATTCTGGAGTGAATATTTTTTGCTCTTTCCTGAAACATGGCCAGAATGGAATGTGCCCTGACATCTGCAGGCTCATTGTGCTCCTTCTTGTGGATTCCAGTTGGATTTCAGTCCTGAGTTCTTTAACTGCTAGCTCAACCTGCTTCTTTATGTGCTGAAATAGTGAGGATGAGTGGGTAGGGGTGCCCTCCTGGGTGAGCAGTGGCTGGGCTTCCTTAGCAAAATAATGGGAGAATGAGTATGCAGCGTGTCAGTGGCAGCAGAGTATGCGTAGGGGCAAAAGCCTAGAAGATGTAACTACAATATGGGCCAGACGCCTAATTTGAATACCTTCCATCTTTAAGTCTTGATGGTCTGACTTGGTAATGGCAGCCTTTCTGGTGCACTAGTCCAAACACACCAAGGAGCACTGCCATCCAGTGTAAGGATCATGGAATCATAATGGCTCCAGTGGAGCTCTTGGATGTGCCAAGCATTTCCCAGTTCATCATTTAACCCTCACAAAGCAGCCTCCGAAGTCGGAATTGTCATCATCCCCAGTTTCCAGAGGACATGGTGGAGGCTTAGAGGCATTTTTCAGTTGCTTAGGATTGAATAATGGGTGGAATCAGAACTCAACTCACTATTGCCTCCCATCAGGGACACCCAGATAAGGAGGAAATGAACTATTCTCCTAGTCTGCAAGTGCAGCATTCAATCCATCTTTGGCATTTTCTGTGGGATGGGTCTGGAGGGTCAAACTGATACGGCACAAGTCAATTGAGTGTTTTTGTTGATGAACTCTTTTGGCCTGCAAATTCCTAGGTGGGGCCTATTTTATCACCCATCTGCCAACTTGGCAATGTGTAATATGGGGATAATGACTGAGGTTCATTGGGTCTGAGGATTAAATGGCATAATGACTTTGAAAGCATCTGACAATATGCCTGGCGTCTAGTAGGTGGTGGGAGTGCCTAAAAATGTAGGTTCATATCTTCTCTCAAAATGTTAACAGATAGTAAACTCTCTGCAAACTCCAGGTGTTCTTCCTGTTGGGGTTGGTGACGAAGGAGCCCTCTTGTGGAATGTGACTTGCCTCTAGGAAAGGCACTAATGTCTTCTGTTTTGGTGCCTGGAGTTAACACTGGAACAGGGGCATGTAGCATGGCTGGAAGAGGTTGGAAGTAAGTCCCAGCTGGGTTCTGCGGGCTGAGAGGGCAGACTTGACTGAGGCAGGTACAGTGGTTTGTAGCTTTGCAGGAAGCTTAGCCCATGAGGACTGTGTAAACCAAGGTAGTCAAAGATGTGAACAAGGACTCTTAAAACTGAGATGCAGAGTGTAAACTTCAAAAGTCAAATATTCTTTTTTAAAAATTGCTTTCTGTTGGCCAAAACATCTACATAACCAGAGCTCAGTTTCTCTGACCACTAACTGGCTGTGGCCTTAGATCATGAGAATTTGAGTGAAAGCACACCAATAATGATAATAAACCAACCACAGACCAGGCCCAACCAGTCTTTGACTACCTGTCATCATTTTAGCTCCTTGTTGGACTATGGCTATTATAGTTTACTGCGGTCCTTAATTACAAAGAAGTGCTCTCCCGAACTGTCTATTGGAGCTAAGATTCGCCTTGCATCTAACAGTTCTACTGTAGCTAGCTCATATTTATTGAGCATTTACTATGTGTCATGTACTGTGCCAATGTGTTAATATATGATCTCATTTGATTCTCACAACGAACTCTCATTATCCCCAGTTTACAGATGGGTAAGCAACTTGCCCAGGGTTGTTCAGCCAGTAAGTGGCTATGACCTTGGGCAGTCTGACTTGAGTGCCCAAGGGCTTCTTCCTGATAACCTCTTCCCTTTTGCCTTAGACACAGACCCTCTTATTTGCCTCTTCTGGACAGAGAGACAGATATGCTTGATGGCTGTGTTAAAACTGCAGCTGAGCTTGGCCATGTCCGGTAGGACTTTCACTTTCCTCATAAATTCCATCCTTACTTATGACCTTTCTCTTTCCCTTCAAATACCTTATTGACTCAACTTTCTCTGACTAAAATGAAAAATGTGTTTTTTATTTGACAATTTTTCCATAAAGCCTCCAAATTATTCTCTGAGACATTCAAAATCACATAGAATTATAAGTGGGAAAGAGAAAGATGCCTTAATGGTGAGTGCTTATTTTAAAACCAAAACTGAATATTAGAAAAAAAGTTAATCAGACCAGGCATGGTGGCTCACATCTGTAATCCTAGCACTTTGGGAGGCCAAGGTGGGTGGATCACCTGGGGTCAGGGGTTCGACACCAGCCTGGCCAACATGGTGAAACCATGTTTCTACCAAAGATGCAAAAAGTAGCCAGGTGTGCTTGTAATCCAGCTACTCAGGAGACTGAGGCAGGAGAATTGCTTGAACCTGGGAGGTGAAGGTTGCAGTGAGCCAAGATCTTGCCATTGCACTCCAGCCTGGGCAACAGGGCGTAGTGGCTCATGTCTGTAATCCTAGCACTTTGGGAGGCCGAGGTGGGTGGATCACAAGGTCAAGAGATCGAGACCATCCTGGTCAACATGGTGAAACCCTGTCTCTACTAAAAATACAAAAATTAGCTGGGTTTGGTGACACACGCCTATAATTCCAGCTACACGAGAGACTGAGGGAAGAGAATCGCTTGAACCAGGGAGGCAGAGGTTACAGTGAGCCAAGATTGTGCTACTGCACCCCAGCCTGGGCAACAGAGCAAGACTCCATCTAAAAAAAAAAAAAGTTAAAACATGATTAGTTTCCTTAGAGGGCTCCGGTCCTCCTGACCACAGTTCATGGTGCTGTGGAGCCATCAGTCACCCACCCCCAAGGGCTTGTGTACATTCACCAGGATAACCAATTCACCTTTGGCGCTCTCTCTCTCTCTCTCTCTCTCTCTCTCTCTCTCTCTATATATATATATATATATATATATATATATATATTTATTTATTTTTTTGAGATGGAGTTTGCTCTTGTTGCCCAGGCTGGATTACAGTGGCATGATCTCTGCTCACTGCAACCTCTGCCTCCTGGGTTCAAGCATTTCTCCTGCCTCAGCCTCCCAAGTAACTGGGATTACAGGTGCGTGCCACCATGCCCGGCTGATTTTTTTGTATTTTTAGGAGAGACAGAGTTTCACTACGTTGGCCAGGCTGGTCTCGAACTCCTGACCTTGTGATTCACCTGCCTCAGCCTCCCAAAATGCTGGGATTACAGGTGTGAGCCATCACACCCAGCCTTTGGCTCCATATTTTAAGAAAATCATGAGGAAACAAGATACAGAGATAAAATTTAGAGAAGCTAAGGAGGACATGTAGTTTTACTGAGTTTCTTACCTTAATGGAGGATGGAGATAGAAAACCATAACAAGATAATAGGTTATATAGTCTCGAAAGAGTCTGGGCTTTAGAATCAGATAGACCTGGGTGCAAATCTGAGTTCCAATGCACCTACATATGGCCATGGGCAATCGAATGTTTTTAATCCAATTTTCTCATCTGTTAAGTGGGGGGTGAGGGATGACTATAACCTCACTGGGTTGTTGTGAGGATTAAATAAGGTAGCATGAAAAAGCATCTGGCACATGGTATATGCTCAAAAATGGTTACTTTACCTTCCCTTCTTGAAAATTTCCATGGACAGAGATTTGAGCTTCCCCTCAGAAACCTCTCCATAACTAAAAGGGTCTTCCACATGTACAATTAAAATCACTTATATTTGCTTTGTCTGCTTCCTGTACTCGGCATTCTGTGGGACAGAGAGAGCTCAGCAGCCTTTGCAGAAAATCTCTCACACATTTGAAGAAACGATCTGAGTTTTAGTTCAAAAGGCATACTCTTACTTTGAGGTTAGAAAAATGTTCTGTAAGGAAGTGGGATGTGGAAGAGGTCTAGGCTCTGAATTAGGGTTGTTCACAGTGCAAGAGAGAATGGCAAACGCCACCCAGATATCAGATGGTTCTGATGGGTGGCTGTTCTTTTTGGGCATTAGAAGGTTTACTTTGTGTCACATACTGTGCTATTGGCTTTGCACACACTTAAATATTTTGGAAACCCTATGAGGTAGTTATTATCATGCTTTTCCTTCTCTGTATTTCTTAAATGAGGAAACTGAGGCTAAAGGTCACATGGCTAGGAAAGGCCCATGGCTGCCTCTGGACAAAACCACACTGCTTCTCTAGTCTGAGACCTAAGGGATTAGCTTCAGCAGTTTTGCAGTTGGCAAAGAATGTGAAAGTCTGGAAAAAGCTATTAAAGAAGGCTCTACAAGTCTTCTGGTTAGTCCAGCACCCCTTTGTGATACAAACCCTAACATACACACAAAGGTTGACTCTATAATCTTCAAGGGTATACGTAGCAATTTTCTACAAACTCCCTCATATCAACTTTTGTTTTTTGGGGGAATGTTTGTAATCAGAGTGCTAATCAGTAGAAACATGTACTGTTTTACAAGCAATGGGTAAGAAATGTGTTTACCTACTTCATGCACTAATTAAAAACCTTTTTAGGACAAGCTGACAACCATATGTTTAGTGCAGTAATAAGGGGCTTCATACTCAGGGCTAGAGTAGGGGTGTGTTGGCTGTCCTGTAGGCACAAGGTTCCAAGAAATCTTTCTGGACCAGGGCAACACCCTAACTGCCACAGCTCAGCTATGTCCTTCTCTAGAGAGATAGCTCCGTTGTTTTCACTTGAGAGTCCTTACTCTGGGGCTGAGGGCAAAGCTTGTATGTGAAGAATTGTAAAAATGAACACTTACAAGTAAGGGCCAATGTAAATAGGTCAGCAAGTGGTGAAGTGTTAGCATATATATTAGCATAAAAAAGATGACGATGCAGATTTCCAGAAGTGTGATCGCTATAAATGACTCATTGGCTTGGGCGATGATGAAACAAGCTAATGCTCCTATAATAAGACTCTGCAATAAAAGAAACAGGATTTGTTTTAATGCACAATTTAAAAAAATCTATATTGTCAGAATATAAATCTGATTACAGTATGGTGCAGTGGCCTGTAATGTTTTGCACATACATTTTTAACATTTCTTATATTTTGAAGAAATGAAAAATACATGAGAATAATAAAAAAGCACACAGTATAGATGGATAAAAGATATATCAATTTCTTTCTCTTCCCCCCAACTCAACCTTAGTCTCTCTCCTTAAAAATAACCAGTATTAACAGTTCATACTGCATACTAGAAAGAAGTCTATATATATATACTGGCAAAATACATATATGTTGATTTTGGTAGAAGTAGTGAGGAAGAGCCTCAGTTTTCTTTATTTCCAAACAGCTGCTGATTACCTCAACATCATTTATTGGGAAATGCCAGTATTATCCCCATTGATCTGAAATCCAGCCTTTAGGGTATACTAAATTCTTAGATGTATTTTGATCTCTTGAGACTGTTCTTTCACTGAATTGCTGCTTCCTCCTCTAGTACTCTGTGAGAGGCAATTCACTTTCTACTGAGTTATCGTTCGGCCTAGTCTTCCTATCACTCATTGTCAGACTGTTTATGCCTCCCATGTTTGTGTTGGTCAAGTTCCCCAAGATAAGCGCTTGCATTTTAGTTGGGATTTCTAAATGAAATACTTAAATACTTATAATTTGGAAGAATTCACACTTTAGTTTTTCTCCAGAACAAAGTATGTCTTTCCAGTTATGATGGTGGTTTTAAGAAAGATGTCTCAGGAGAGTTTTAAAGTTTTCTTCCCATATATGTATCATATTTCACTTATTTTTAGATATTTGATCATTTTGATTACTGTTGTAAAGAGAAATTTTTTTTTACATTTTAAGTGGTTATTTGTCTAGGAAAGCTTTTATTTATTAACACAATAATGGGTCACCTAACTAAATTATGTAGTTATAAATTGTTTCCAGTTGATTTGGGATTTTCTAGATATATAATCACATTAGCTGAAAGAAAGGATATATCTCACCTCTTTTTTTTTTTTTTTTTTTTTTTTTTAAGATATGGAGTCTCGCTCTGTCGCCTAGGCTGGCGTGTAGTGGCATGGTATCAGCTCACTGCAACCTCCACCTCCCAGGTTCAAGCGATTCTCCTGCCTCAGCCCCCTGAGTAGCTGGGACTACAGGTGTGCGCCACCACACCTGGCTAATTTTTGTATTTTTAGTAGAGATGGGGTTTCACCATATTGACCAGGCTGGTCTTGAACTCCTCACCTGAGGTGATTTCCCACCTTGGCCTCTGAAAGTGCTGGGATTACAGGTGTGAGCCACCATACCTGTCCACCTCTTTTCAAATATTTTTTTCTTCCTAATTATGACTAGTGGTTTCAGAAAAATTGGCTCACAGTGTATCAGGTATCATTTTTTTCCCCTCATTTAATGAATCCTTCTGTTGTTAAATATGATGGTCTTAGTTTGAAATGTTTATTTTTATAATGCCAATGGAATATTTATATACTCCTATCTTACTGGGCTCCCTTCTTGAAAATCAGGAACAAATGTTGAATTTTGTCATGTTCTGTGACATAATCTCATAATTTTTTATAATGTGATCTCATTTTTTCCTATTACTTATAATACAGTGAATTATTTTAAGAGTCAATATTGGATCATCCTGCTTCTTCCTTGTGGTATTATATTTTCATAAAGTAGTGGTGAATATTATCTGCTAATATATCGATATTATATATTGAGATCTCTAGTTCATTTTCTTTTTCTGAACTCGGTCAAGTTTTCCTATCAGTATTATACTGACTTTGTAAAGATAGTTCAGAAGTGTTTCTTCTTTCTCTATTCCTTGACAAAGTTCGAGTAGTATCAGAATTATATCCCATGAAGGCTTGAAAGAGATAACTTGTGAAAGGGCCTGGGCCTGATACATTTTTGAAAGATACTCATTTGATGAAATTCTCATTTTCTTCTATGTTTATATTGCCCTGTTTAGATTTTTCCCTATTCTGGGATCAGTTTTGGTAATTTATATTTTTCCAGAAAATCAACCATTTCATCCAATTATTCACATCGATTTGTTTTGCAAGGTACTCTTGTAGACCCTTTCAGTTTCACTGATGTTTGTGATTATTTTCTCATATTGTTTTCTAATTTTAAATATACATCCTCTCTTCCTCCCTTTTTTCTTGATTATATTGGCCAGTGGTTTATCAATTTAATAGGTCTTTCAAATGACAGCTCTTGTATCGATTATTTTTGTTTCCTAACTTACAAGTTCCTATTATCTTCATTGCTTTCCTAATTTCCTTTGTAAGAGGAAACCTGAGAAGTAAAAAAGATAGGGGAAACAAGGCAAGTTGAGTAGGAAGGGTTGACTGTGTGGAGAGCAAGGGGCAGTGGGAGGAAAGGTGAGGCAAAACAAAAGTGAGTGGCAAAGTGCACTATGGAAGCTTTCTGGAGCTGGCGTCCCCGGGCATTTCCCCGAGGCCACTGCTGGCCACATCCACCCAGCTAGGTCTCACCAGCTGTCCGCTCACCATTCTCAGGATCTTCAACATTCCAGTGGGCGAGAAGAAAAAACGCTTGAGGCTGTCCCTGAATTTGTACGGGACTTTGGCTCGGCCCTCCGCACGCTCTTTAATTGCTGTCTCATTTAAGAGTTTGGACTCAGTGGGTGCAGAGGGCGTTGGGGGTGGGCGTTTGGTGGCTTTCCTTGAGGGTGCAGTGCCCTTGCTGCCTTTGGGATGTGCGGGGGCTACGGACTGCACTGTGCGAACTGAGACAGCGGAGTGCTTCCGGGGTGCGGTCTTCGCTGACATGTCGCGCCGTGCCTTGGGTACAGAACTCACTACATTGCCGTTACTTGCCAGGGCTGTGGCAGTCTCTGGTTGTTTCAAGCTCCCCGAAGGTGCCTTGGACGACTCAGGTTTGGTATCTTCAGGATTCATGGTGGGTCCCAAGGGCCTGGCTGTCTGAACCAGTGCCTCAGCAGCGCCTGGCTCTCCCCTTGGAACCAGCGTCTCGTCCCAACGGCTGCTACCTCCCCGGCGCGCGCACCGGGTTCTCGCTGCCCCGCCGACAAGCTGAGCCCTTCAGTCACCCTCGTTGCCACAAGGAGCGGGGGTGCAATGCCAATGCCTAGCCTGAGAACGCAAAACCTCTGCAACCCCACCCCTCGGAGCTGCCGACCCGCCAGGCAGTAAAGAGATTCAAAGATCCCCAAGGCCGATCCTGGCACATTGTTCCTTGCCACACCACCCAGGCTGCGGGAGCCGGAAAACTCGATCCCTTGGAAGTTATAGTAGTGCTCTGCGCTGGGTGCAGAGTTCGGAAATCTCTTCCTCCAGCTCCCACACTGAGTTAAAATAACAGCATAAAATATGTAGAAGAATAAAGAAATACGTTTAATACTTAGTATCAAACTAAAAAGTAACATAAAATTACAAAACTTATTTTTTTTCATGAACAGGCTTTTTCTGGTAAGGACCACTGGGATTAAACAGAAGCTTCCGGTAAATAAGGGCTCCGTCGGCAAGACAGCACACTGCTGCCACAAGTGCAAACACCTGGAAAGAAAGGCACATGTCACTACCCTAACCATGGTCCCCACTCCCGTCATTCACGTAAGTTTTAAGTGGTATGCCCACCAGATTCCTTTCTGGCTAGGGCACTCAGATTGCCCCTGTGCTGCACCTAATACTAATATGGAGAGATTCAGCGATCATCTTATTCTCCTCATTGCTAAGTTTTCTAGATACTTGCCTATAGAAAGAAAAGGTAATTTAAGTGAGCAGAAAAATAATGAAGCAGTGCGGGCTCTGAAATAAATATTTGTTTGCTTTTATCTCTCGACCTGCTCTTACATGTATTCTTTTAAGCCCTACTGAGGATATTTAGTTACCAATCAATATTTCTAACCCCAGTATTCAACTCTTTGACTCCTCTGCTGACAGACTCTAGGGAAGAAAAGGTCAAAGTTAACACCAGCTCAATATTAAATCATGGGGACTGTAGCTCCAAAACACTGAAGTTAATAAGATGAGCCAAAGTGAACTCTCAAAGGCTAGGCTACATCTGCTTAAGGGGTGAGATTCTAAATAGGCCTTAAGAAAGTAAAATTGAGGGAAAGGCAATAAACAAGAACATGTGGGGGCCTTCAGACACTCTGATGGCTATTTGAGAGCTGGCGCTGGGCATGGAGGAGGTGATGTCATTCCTTGCACGGTGTTTGACCAGCTTAATCCAGTGATCAGGAAGTTTGGCTTCCTGGCTCTAGACATGGCTCTCACTGTCTCCTTTTCCACCCCGAGTCTCAAGCCACTGCCTCTTAGGTTCTGACCACACTGAACACCTGCTACCAATCTTTTCATGACTGGCATTCTGTACATCATTGGCTCCTCTACCTGGAAACTTTTCACTTTTATCTCCTTTATTCTCAGCAAATAGCAATTCCACTGCCAGAGAGGTAGTTTCCTCTTTTCTGCACCCTGTAGCTCCCTGTCAACAGCTTACATACAGTGGTTTCCACTTCTGTCTCTGTTAGGCTCTAAGCAACATGAGGATAGGGCTCACACCCTAGTCCAGTGCTGCCTAAAAGAAGCATAATGCCAGTCACATGTAACATAGCCATATAATTAAAGATTTTTTTAACAGCCACATTAGAAATGTAAAGAAATAAGTCATAGATTTAATATATTTTGCTCAGTATATCTAAAATACTACCATTTAACATGCAATCATTAACAATATAGTCTACATTCTTTGTTGGGGTAAAACATCTTTGAAATTCAATGTGTATTTTTAGGCTTACAGCTGATCTTGATTCAGACTGGCCACATTTCCAGTGCTCAGTAGTCTCATATGGCTAGCAACTGCTGTTACTATACCGAACAGCACAACTCTATACTTTGTCAGCCCCTGCCGAAGTACACTTAAGAAATGAGGAAATGAATGAATGAGTAAAAACATGAATGAAAGTAAATCCTGTGCCTGTTCCCTCCTTCTTCATAGTAGAAAGATGAGTATTATCTTCAAAAACAACTGGGGGAAATTGATACAGAGCGATCTCATTTCTAGAATATTCTGATCCTTCATGAAGTTGCTTAAGGCCTAAGGGAGATGAAAATCATGGATTCTGACATATATGACTACCTTAGAGTTCTCCTAAGTGACTCATACTATGAAAGAACAAGGAAGCAGGAAGATTTATTTAAGAACTTTCTAATTCAATTCTTTAGGGCAGAACTTAGAAAAGCCAAAAGATTTTGAACCTTCTATGAGAAATCTTAGAAGAATATCAGATAGAACTATAACTAAATTATTTGAGTCATATTCTGGTTTGCTTTCAGATAAGGCCTGATGGAACTGATCTGCTTCTCTTCAAGCAGTGTTCAAAGTGATCCTTTGGTTGCAAGGTGCCCTATCAATGTTCCCTTACCATAAGGGCATCTTCTATTCTATTCCATCTAAAGGATCTGAACAAGAAATAACTGAGCTCAAAACAGTCTGTCTCATCTTAACAAGTGGTATGTACCTTTTCTATAAAAGGGAGAGCTATGAAACTTACCCATCTTTTTTTGTTTGTTTTGCTTGACATCAGGTTTCTCAGAGCTAAGTGCTGTAACTAATTCTAGTAGTAGCTTTTGTCAGTCTAGTCTAGCTCTATGTACCTATAAGAAATCTGTAGGAACCTCTTTATCAGGTTAATTCCACTTCTAGTATAAAATCATGTTCCTTCATATTAATCAGGGCAAGCATTCACAGACAAAAATATTAAGCTGGCTGGGCATGGTGGCTCATGCCTGTAATCCCCAGCACTTTTGGAGGCCGAGGTGGGTGGATCACGAGGTCAGGAGATCAAGACAATCCTGGCCAACATGGTGAAACCTCGTATCTACTAAAACACAAAAAATTAGCTGGGCGTGGTGGTGTGCACCTGTAGTCCCAGCTACTCGGGAGGCTGAGGCAGGAGAATTGCTTCAACCCAGGAGGCGGAGGTTTTAGTGAGCTGAGATTGCGCTATTGCCCTCCAGCCTGGTGACAGAGCCAGACTCCATCTCAAAAAACAAAAAACAAAAACAAAAAATATTAAGCCACTAGGCACTGTATATTGGTCTCGGAACCTCAAGGATGAATACAGTATAGCTTTCTATTCTTACATCTGTTTTCCAAATAAATTTGCATTCTAATAAAACCTGAAGAAAGAAACCAGAAAGACTTCCACTTACCCCTCCAACAACTGTCAACGTTGTGGTTTCTGGTATCAGTGCCAACACAGCTACGATGAGCATGAATACTGTTGTTACCAGTGAGTTGATAATATCCTAAAAACACACAATAAAGCTCAGCCTTACATGAAGACTACCAAGCAATGCTAAAAAAAAAAAAAAAAAAAAATTATGTCAGCAAACCCGTTGCTCTGGCTCACGCCTGTAATCCCAGCACTTTGGGAGGTAGATGGATCACTTGAAGCCTGGAGTTTGAGACCAACCTGGCTGACATGGTGAAACCGTCTCTACCAAAAATACAAAAATTAGCCGGGCATGGTGGTGCATGCCTGTAATCCCAGCTACTAAGGAGGCTGAGGTATAAGAATGGCTTGAACCTGGGAGGTAGAGGTTACAGTGAACCAAGATCATGCCACTGCATTCCAGCCTGGGCAACGGAGTGAGACTCTGTTTCAAAGAAAGGAGTCAACTTCCTAAATATTTTGAAAGTTTAATTTAAAAAAATTTATTTAGTATTTATCTTTCAGGAAACCAAAATGTCACGGTAAAATGATACCTAGATAGTATTTGGTCTATAATGATACCTAGTGGTTTTCTTTTACCTATAATATGCCAATCATTTACTTAAAAAGCTTTTATTTCTTTTTTACTTAACATAAACATAGTTGAAGGGAAAACTTACCTGATTAGAAAAGCAAGTACTATGTAGAAAGTTTAAGTTAGAATGGGTGCCACTGGGGAGTAAAAATGCTCATTTTTAATAACATAAGAAAATGCAGAGTAGTCTACATTGTATATCAAACTTTATGTTACTAAAATTCAATTAATTCCAGGACCTGTGACTCACGCCTATAATCCCAACACTTTGAGAGGCCAAGGCGGCCGGTGGATCACCTGAGGTCAGGAATTCCAGACCAGCCTGGCCAACATGGTGAAACCCCATCTTTATTAAAGAATACAAAAATTAGCCAGGCATGGTGGTGAGCCCCTGTAGTCCCAGCTACTTGGGAGGCTGAGGCAGAAGAATGGCTTGAACACAGGAGGCAGAGACTGTAGTGAGCCAAGATTACACCACTGCATTCCAGCATGGTGACAGAGCCAGACTCTGTCTCCAAAAAAAAAAAAAAAAAAAAAAAATGCAATAACACTTAAAATAGCACACATGTAAGTGGTAATTTTCAGGAAAACCCCTACATACATCTCTATGCAATGGATGACCAATTATGCTATTATTGCTGATTACATACTTCATTCGTTTAATACTTTTACATAGTAAAAATTATTTTCATACTTAACTGTGACTTTAAGAAGTGAAATTTACATTTTTAAAATGGATCGGCAGTGTGCGAAAGGTAAACTGTCTAGCTGAGAGGTTTATGTATATTTGCAGATAATCATAGGCAGGAAGGAATCAAACAAATACCAAACTGCAAAACCCTGGTAATTAAGAAAAGCAGTTACTAAAAAGAAAGTAGGAAGAGGTTTAATGTGGGCAGGACAAGATCAGATATACTTAGGAAGAAAAAAGTTCTCATTTGTAGGAGATACTGAGACTACCTATTCTAGGTTAACTCTCGTCTGTGTTGGGTATTTTGCTCGCTTCAAAAGGCAACAGACCACACTCCTATCTCAGACGGGCAGCCTGCATCCTGTGAGCAATCTGGGCAAGTGTTTATAGATGGCTTTGGATCAAAGTGGTGTTCTGGGGAGTGCAGAGAACCACAGTGGGCAGGAGAAAAAAAAGGATATGCCTGCCCTGGAATACTGATGATTCTTAAGAGTAATTTAGAACATTGCTTTTATATTAAAAATGAAACATCTCTATGCCACAGAGTAGAATGTAAATTTAATTACAAAAATAGAGATTTCAAAGGAATTTTGAGCCTATGTGTAGATATCACCTCAAAGCCCCAGGATGGCTCATTTTGTGTGTTTTCTGTCATTTGGGGCACTTGGGGGAGCAATCAGAGAAGGCCTGCTTTACAGACTGAATCAAGGACTACAACTTTGGGACAATCTGAGTGGAGATGATCAAGCCCTCTCCTATTTAGCAAAGGCAGTGGCTAGCAGATGGAAGTACTTATAAGTTACCTTTCCCCCACCTACAGATTAACTGGAACCATCAGCCATCTCTGTGTCCTTCA